TGTACTGTAATGTAACGTAACGTAATATAACGTAATGTAACGGAATGTATGTGTGTGTATGTATGTATGTATGTATGTATGTATGTATGTATGTATGTATGTATGTATGTATGTATGTATGTATGTATGTATGTATTAATGTAATGTATGTATGTATGTATGTATGTATGTATGTATGTATGTATGTATGTATGTATGTATGTACACATGTATATACATACATACATGAGAGGTAATGACAACAATTACCACTGATGTTCTTTACATCCTTTCGGGGGGTTGCTATGCTAAAACACTCCAGAACCTGTAAACCCCAACCACAAGACTCCAATACCCAAATAACTGTGCCTTCAAACTCATGTCAAGAATCCTTCAAAAGACAAAGGCATACACCTTCATTAAGCACGCCTTTTCACAGCTACATTCCTGAATTTATGGTTTTTGGAGGCGCTAGGGAGCCCTGTCTTGTCAGTACCTCCACCTGGGCTTCGACGTTTTAGTTCCGGCGATCGCGAACAATGAGTCAAAGATGGAGGCGGTTTGATGTGTGGGTGCTCGGGACTTCAGGAGATAAGTTCAGGGTTGAGAAGATTTTGTTTGGGGCTTCAGGACTTGAAAGGTCTTCAGGGATCTCTAGGGGTTCAATTTCTGGTTAAAGGGTTTGCAGGGCTACAGGAAGTATGCTTTTCCCAGAATCTTGGGGGACTTTGATGTTCCCTGTTTAGGGGGCTTTTGCAACATTCTGGCCAGCGCTTTGTGAACGCCAGCTCGTGGTATCGTGAGGGTGCATTGAGGTTCGGATTCAGGATTGGTTCATGTTGCTTGGTATATTGGGGGTTTGTTCACCTAACGAGTTGAATCTCCAAATACGAGCTCGGAAGGACGTGCTACCTTCGTTGGCTCACCCGGCCGCCAAAAGTGGGATCTCTGCGGTAGAGTCTCAGTTGCTCGGGGTTGAGGGCTGGGCCCAGGATGCGGAAGAAGTTTCAGGTTCTTGCCTCCGCAGCCGGAGAAACCAAAGCCTATACCCTAAACACTCTTCAAACCCTAGCCCTAACTCCCTAAACTTTAGACCCTATGCCCTATGCTCCTTTTTTTGCGGGAGGAAAAAGGAGCTTAAGAAAATACGACCCTATGAATCACTTCTAGAAGCCCGTAACGGAAGCCTAACCAGAGCCCTGAAAGGACTCCCTAACGGAACCTTGGACCTGAATCCTGAAAGGAATCGGTACAGGAGCCCTAAAAAACGAACCCCCGAAGGAACGCTGGGCCGCTAGGCATCTGGCAAGAGATGTCATCCTAATATAGAAGCCTAGAATAATTACCTGTACTATTTTGGGGGTTCCTTTATTATAACTGTAGAACATACCCCAAAAACCCTCTTCTAATCACTAAGGCCCCTACATTTGAGTTTCAACTCTCCCTAGCCCGTGCCTCCGAACCAACCCAGAACAGAAGCCCAAGCCCGATGAGAGCCCGTCAGCGCCTTGTACACACTAGTCCGATAAGAGCCTGGTTTGGGGTTGAGTGTTTAGGGTTTGGGGGCTATAAAGCCGGATAAAGCTCGACGAAAGCAAAAGTTGGAAAGTCCAAAGCCCAAACCTCCCATGCCGTACAGCGGAAGTGCGAAACCCCCGCAGATCTTCATCCGGGACGACAACGACGGAGGGAACATGGTCCTCACCCCGTACCGTGGCCCTAAAAAGAACCCGAAAGTTGCTGTCTACTGGTTGCTTTTTTTGGGTTTAGGGTTTACTCTTCAACCCGAAGCCCTGAAAAGGAAGCGCCAGCTCAGGAGCTTTGCTCGGGTTACTGAGCGCTACGGCACTGGGGAGTGCGTCTTCTACGGGGATCGGCAAGGAGGCCCCGCGTTCTTCGGATGTTTTGAGGGTTTTGGGGTGAAGGTCCGGGACTGGGGGACTTGCACTCAAAGGTACAGAGTTCGGGCTAACTTCTCTCTCTCAGGAATAACCCCGCTTGGTAACACCGGTAGCCACCCTCAAATAATAATTACCCATATTACTTTGGGGGTTCCTTGGTCTAGCTATAGTATAACATAGACCCCAACCTTACTCTAGTTATGAAGGCCCCTACATTACACCCTAAACCCTAAACTCTAAATGCGAACAGACTTCGATGCCTCTTATAATTCTGAGGTACTGCTTTGTGAGCTCTGAGACATGTATCATAAACACGAC